CCCAGCACACCCGAGCACGTATCCCAGCACACCGAGGCAAGCACACATTCCAGCATACGGAGGCAGCACAACCCAGCACGCACCTTGGCACACGTCCCAGCACCCCCAGCGCACACCCAGGGGGGCCACGGCCAGCACACATCTCAGCACACCGAGGCAATCACACATTCCAGCACACGGAGGCAGCACAAACCCAGCACACATCTTGGCACACCTCCTACATTCCAGCACCCTCAGCGCACATCCGAGTACGTCCACACATCTCAGATCACCGATCCCATCACACCGAGGCAGTACACGGACACATCCCAGCACCGAGAGCACCGAGGCAATATCCCAGCACCGAGCACACTGAGGCAGTACACCGACACATCTCAGCGCGCAGCGTGGCCCAACACATTGAGGCAGTCACGCATCCCAGCACACGGAACCCAACACATATCCCAGGTACGGTCAGCTGGCCGAAATCATGCAGTGCGAAAGCACACCGGTAGGTATGACAATACCCCCCCCTTTGTAAACCCCACTCATGTAGACCCCCCCTCCCTAGACCCCCCTCCGCTATAGAGCCTTCCCCCCTCCTCCCCCTTCTTTTCGCTCTCGCTGTCCCCTTTCTCTTCCCCAGACACGTGGTTTTGACCACTGAGACCTGTGCTACTGCACGGTTTCCCCCGGGGCCGTAAGCGACCCGAGGAGGAGGAGGAGGAGGAGGAGGAGGAGGAGGAGGAGGAGGAGGAGGAAGGAGGAGGAGGAGGGGAAGGAGGATATGGAGGAGGAGGAGGAGGAGGAGGAGGACGAGGGGGGAGAGGAGGAGGAAGAGGAGGAGGAGGAGGAGGAGGAGGAGGAGGAGGAGGAGGAGGAGGGGGAGGAGGAGGAGGAGGAGGGGAGGAGGAGGAGGCGGAGGAGGAGGAGGAGGAGGCGGAGGAGGAGGAGGAGGAAGGAGGAGGAGAACGGGTCGCCTCAGCCCTTCGGAACAACTTTCCAGTGCTGCCCTCGTTCTCTATGGAGACGTTGCCAGTGGTCCTCCCCGGGGACCCGGCGGCGGGCCCCCCGCCAGACGGGACGCTGCTCGGACCACTGGCTGGTGGCCTGGGCTGGTGAAGGCACAGCGCTTCGTCTTAGGCAACGCTTACGGCGGCGTTGCTCAACGGTGGTGTTAGGAACCCATTTGTCGGAAATCGCGAGCCACATTTTCCTACATCTCCCATGTGCGTACGTATCGGACGAAGCCGACACAGCGGATTGCAGGAAAGCGCGAGCCACGCGTTCCCAAAGTACCGAAACCTACATCGCCGTTACCTACATCGCCGTCAGTGCGTATGCGGCTCGTGTCCCATCTGCCCTGCTCTCGGAGCCAAAGCTGCGCATACAGTTCGTGACCCAGCGCGCAGCCAGAGGGGAGACATGGAGGGTGGACGGAGAAGAATGGGCGGGCCGACGGGGTTGACACGGAGAGGCGTCATAGCCAGTCCAAACCCAAAAGAGGCATCAAAGCTTCTGACCATCAGCGTTCCGCGCTGATCCACTCACGGATCATTCACTCATTCACTCACATATTCAATGCTAACGGGCGGGTTTGGGTCGGGTCACAGCGGGCGAGGCCTGACAAACGGGTCGGGAAGGGCAGGTCGGGTCGGGTCGGGCGAGCGGGTCGGGGCAGGTCGGGAAGGCCCTAACGGGTCGGGCGGGTCGGGCCGGGCCGGGCGGGCCCTGATGGGCGGATCGAGTCCGGCGGGTCGGGTCGAGTCGGGAGGGCCCTAACGGGCGGGTCGGATCGGGCGGGTCCGGTCGGATCGGGCGGGCCCTGACGGGCGGGTCGGGTCGGGCGGGTCGGGTCGGGTCGGGTCGAGCCTGGCGGGCCCTGACGGGCGGGTCGGGTCGGGCGGGCCCTGACGGGCGGGTCGGGTCGGGTCGGGTCGGGCGGGCCCTAACGGGCGGGTCGGGCCGGGCGGCCCTGACGGGCGGGTCGGGTCGGGCGGGTCGGGTCGGGTCGGGCGGGGCCTGACGGGCGGGTCGGGTCCTAGGCATAGGGGAAAGGCCTGGGGTCGGGCTAGGGGTAGGCCATAAGGTAGCTCTCGGACTAGGGGCAAGGCCTGGGGCAGCACTAGAGGTAGCCCTAGGAGCAAGGCCTAGGGTAGCCCTAGGGATAGGCTCCGGGGTAAGCCTAGGGGTAGGCCCTAGGGTAGACGTAGGGTAGGCCTGGGGATACGCCTCGAGTAACCCTAGGGGTAGGTCTAGAAATAGTAAGCCCTAGGGCAGGCCGAGGGTAGGCCTGGGAGTAGGCCCTAGGGGTAGGCCTAGGGTAGCCGTAGAGGTAGGCCCTAGGGTAGGCCTGGGGTAGACCTGGGAGTAGGCCCTCGGTTACTAGGGTAGGCCTGGGGTGGGCCTAGGGGTAGGCCCTAGGGCAGGCCTAGGGTAGGCCTGGACATGGGCCCTAATGTAGGCCCAGGGTCGGCCTAGGGGCAAGCCCTAGGATAGGCCAAGGGGAGGCCGGGGTGTAGGCCCTAGGGTAGGCCAAGGGTAAGCATTGGGGTATGCCCTAGGATAGGCCTAGGGTAGGCCCTGTCTGGGCAATCTATATGTCCCAATTCCCATACTAAGACAAACGTGAGCAAGTATGTGCGGCAGTGACGCGTCACGGGCTTTTGCAAGTGAAAGCGCTATTCGTGTGTTTGCCAGCGTGGGCCCAAACTGAAGGTTTGTGCGCTGTCGACGTATAAGCTATGCTGTGCAAACTTTGGCGTGGCCTATGCAGTGCAATCTGTGTACTGCAGTCGATGCTATGCAACGTGTGGTGCAAAAAAGCATGGGGCAAGCTATGTGGTGTAAGCTATATGTGCAAGCTATGTTGTGCACGCCAGGTAGTGCAGGCCATGCGGTGTCAGCCATGTGGTGTAAGCTCTGCGGTGTAATCTGTGTGATGCTTGCTACGTGATGCAGGCTGTGTGTTGGAAACTGTGTGGTGCAAGCTACGTGGTGCCAGCTTTGCGATGCGAGCTGCGTGGTGCCTATGTTTTTGTTGTTCCTTTTTTTCCCATCGCGCGGGGCAACGGCTACTCGTTCTATCTTACGTCAGTGCGCTGGCTTGCTTCGCTCGCCGCGGCGTGGCATCTAGCCACTCGGCGATGAATGTCACTCCTCCTCCTCCTCCTCCTCCTCCTTCTCCTCCTACGCCTCCCCCGCGGCAACAGCGGCACCACCTCCTCCGCTTCACTTCCGCAGCCAGTGCTGCAAGCACAAAATGCTAGCACGCACTCTGGCCCGTGCTTTGGCCAGCACGCACCAGGCAGCCACGCGAAAACTGGAACGTGGCACAAATTCCAAGCAACGCACCCATGGGAGTGGAGGCACTGTCGGGAACATGCGCCAAGAGTGGAGCAGGAGGGGGAAGAGGACGTACGTACTGGCATGGAGGCGCCGCGCAGAACTGAAAGCAGGGTGCCGAGAAGGAAGCTGGCCTCGCGTGCCTTACTATACCGCACCGTTTCCCCTGCCTCTCTCATCCTACTTCGTTCTCGTTTCCCGCCGCCCTCGCTCACCACATTTCTTCGCCAATTCTCAAAAAGTCCATGCCCAATCGAAATCACTCCAACAGAAGAGAACCTCCTCGCACCACCTCAACACCTCCATTGACGAATGGAGAGGTCGAGACATATACGGGCACGAGGATGTAGCTTTCGGCGTGCTATACGTGTGCGCAGCTCTTGCATACGATACAGGTAGCGAAGTGATGGGTACGCAGTGGAATGGCACAAGTGCCAGCACTGGCTGCTTCCAACCTCAGTGAGTGCACCAACAAGGACTGATCAGAATCTAGCGTGAAAGCCAGCAGCGCCAGCTTTGCCTTTGGTGGCAGGACCAGAGCAACATCATCAGTGTCAAAACGAGCCTGCTTGACAGCCTCACCCTGGGAGACGAGATGGTGGGGGGAGAGAAAGAGAGAGAGAGAGAGAGAGAGAAAAAAAAAAGAAAGAGAGGGAGAGAGAGCCGAAGCAACCTTACGGATCCAACCGTCTCGCCGAGCTGGAGCAAGCTTCACGCGCGCCCCTCGTGAATCGGCTCGTGGAAGCCCGGGAGTGCGGCTGCGTCCCGCCGTGCCGCGTAGCCCCCAGTCCACGACGAGTCCTCGGCCCGCGCTTCCTGCAGACAGAGAGCATAGTTTGCAGGCCTAGGTGGAGCAGGAGGCGAACATGATAATTCGCCCAGGATGTTTGTAAGCATAGGGCGACTGTACAAACGACATCTGTTACTACCAGTGAAACGACCCAACGGGCGTGCTGCGACAAGCTTCGTCGCAGAGTGTTTTACAAGCATGTTTCCCTACCTAGGCTCTGCCTAGAAGGGTTCTTACTCTCTTAGCTTAAAGGGGCCAGGCAGTGGAAAGCGCCCCGGGCGGTTCCCCCAGTCCCCTGGGAGCGGTTCCCCCCAGTCCCCTGGGAGCTTTAGCTTTAGCTTTAGCTTAGCTTTAGCTTAGCTTTAGCTTAGCTGTAGCTTAACTTTAGCTTAACGTTTCGCTTAGCTTTTCGCTTAGCGTTTAGCTTAGCTTTAGCTTAGCTTGAGCTTAGCTGTAGTTTAGCTTTAGCTTAGATTTAGCTTAGCTTTAGCTTAGCTTTAGCTTAGATGTAGCTTAGCTTTAGCTTAGCTGTTGCTCAGCTTTAGCTTAGCTTTAGCTTAGCTTTAGCTTCGCTTTAGCTTAACTTTAGCTTAGCTGTGGATTAGCTTTAGCTTAGCTTTAGCTTAGCGTTACTGTTAGTACTAATGCTGCTTTCCTAGGGGTTCCGACTCCTAGGTAGGGTCGCACTGGGATAATTAGAAAGAAGCGTTCAAAAATTACGAGCACCCATCGGCGCATCATCATAACCACCCTCATTCTCATCACCACCAACATCACCCAAGGCATCGCTTCAAGAAGGGGTAGTGGGTGTACGAGAAACGTCAACGGTTCCCGCTCGCGGGAACAGTGCTAGACGAAACGAAGCTTCCGCTGCGCTTCCATGACGCTAGAACTCATGATGACGTGAGGATCTGGAGGCATGGAGACCTGGACACAGCAGGGGCGCCTCCAGCGCGATCGCCACCTCCGAGCTCACGCCGTCGCCGAACGTTTTGCCAAGCAAAAGAACAGTGACTTGAACTGGGACTGCCAGGGCCTGCTTGGTCCGGCAGTGGGCTCGTCGCCGTCGCCGCCCGCACCGTCGCAGGCGCCTGGCAGCGGGGCAGGGTCGGCGGCAATCCTGGCTGCGTGGCGACCAGTCGAACCGCCGCTTCCGGGAGCAACCCTCGCGCATGAAGAGGTCCTTGTCGGTACGGGTACTCCAGATTTCGTAATAAAAGGGAGGGGGTCACATTTCGGGGGGGGGTCTCTTCCAGGCTATCCTGGAGGGCCTGGGGGCTCTGGGGACGATATTTTGGAGGGTTCTCCCAGGGGGGAGGTCTGAAATGGCTTGTCTTGGAGGGTCCAGACCCCCTCCCTTTTATTACGAAATCTGGAGTAGTCTGGTCCGTCCTCGAAGCGCAGGGAGTGGCAATAGGCGAGGTGCGCGGCAAAGACCGCCGGGTATCCCTCTTGCAGAGCGTCTCGAGGGACGCGGGCACCTCGCACCCCATGATCTTTCTGTACCTGTCCGAGTTCGTCGCAGCTCGACATCCTTGCCATGGAAGCTGCCCGCGATCCAAGTACATCAGCACATACCCCACTGCCTCAAGATCGTCAGGGCGACTCTGCTCAATACCTGGATGTGCGTTGATGGACGCGTAGGCAGCCGTGCCCGTCAAACCTTTGCCGTCGCGATACGGTATGTGCTGCTGTGCGGTCCAACCCCTGCACTTCTTGGCAAGGCCGAAACCCACCATGTGCACAAAGTTGGAGCCCGCCGTGTCACCGATAAGGCAATTGTCGGGCTTGATGTCTCCGTGAATGTAATTCTTCGAATAAAAATACTCGACTCTGTAGAGCATCCGGTCAGCGATCATGAGGACAGTCTTCACATTGAATTGTCGCATTTCGCCCACACTTGTTGAAGAGGCTTTATAAAAATGGCCCGAGGTGGTCCATTACCATTACATTATAATCGCCCTCCGGGAAAGTGTACATTGCAAAATCCGGCGACCCCCTGAAGATGCCCGAGAAGCTTGGCCTCGTACATCAGCGTTGGATTCTTCGTGTTTGCGCCCTCAAGCTTCACATCAAACTCCTTGCCGGTCTGCGCGTGAACGGCAAGATACACGTCCCCGACGAGCCGTTGCCCAGATTCCGCCCCAGCCAGGCAGTACTGGCCTCCCACCACCATGCCAAGGTGCTCGTGCTCTGACGGATTGCGGGACGGAGGCTTAAAAAAGGGGTGGAGAGACTCGACCCGCTCATGGCCGCGCCGCCCGCCCGTAGCCAGTGCCGCCGATCAGGGGCGCAGAAGCGGGCGCGCTCGAGAGTCCGCGCGGGCGGCGGGGCGAGCCCGGTCAGGGCGGCATCGGCCGCTCCAGCGCGGCCTGAAAGGGGGTGACAGGCGAGCGGAGCCCCGTGAGATGTCGAGCTGTGTGGCGCGCTCTGTGCACAGGACTGCGCACGCGTGCGAGGCGCCAGCGACCAGCCACCGGCGGCAGCGTGGCGAAACCTCGGCACACCTATCCAGCACACGGAGCGCCCACGAGGCGCCTCCTCCTCCTCCTCCTCCTTCTCCTCCTCCTCCTTCCCCTCTTTCTCCTCCTCCTCCTCCTCCTCCTTCTCCTCCTCCTCCTCCTCCCTCTCCTCCTCCTCCTCCTCCTCCTCCTCCTCCTCCTCCTCCTCCTCCTCCCCCTCCTCCTCCACCTCCAACGACCAGCCACGGGCGGCAACGTGGCGAGACCTCGGGCACGCATCCGCAACACAGGGGCGCACTCCGGGCGCCCACACAGCAGCAGCGTGGCCACACTTCGGCACACCAGCGAGGCGTCCACGGCGGTGACGTGGCCAAACATCTGCACGGCCATCCAGTTCGTCATTGGGAAGGGCCAGACGTACCCACAGGACGACGTACCCCCAGTGAGGTGTCGCAGCGGCCATGGATCCAGCCACGGTGGTCGCCAAAACGCAATCTTGGGCGCCACGAGGCGGGCCCTGAGGCCCCCACTCCAGGGTACGTCTGTTCTGGGGTACGTTTGGCCTCCCCTGACGTCAGGAGACCTTACTGGTAACCCAAATAAGAATCCCTGAGTGCAAGCATTGCTTGGGAAATATCCGGCTGGGGCGCAAAAGTGCACATCAGTGCCTTACGGCGACACTTGCAGATACAACCGCCAAGCGATGAGCAAGCGACGAACACTTTGCACACGGCCACAAAGTGCGCAGACTTATGACAGATCGGAGTTTGGGGGGTGAGATCGCAATGGAACGGAGACCCCCAAGCGGGAAATCGTTTCGTTTCGTTCGTGTCGTGCGTGCGGGCGAGGCGAAGCTGCGTGGGCGCGCGAGAGGAATGAACCCGCCGTTGCTAGGGCGAAGTCAAGACAAATGATTCTCCTCCGCCCGCCCGTCTGGCGGTGGCTCGCGATGTCCCGCGGTGTCCCGTGGTGTCCCGTAGTGTCCCCCGTTGCTAGGGCGAAGTCAAGACAAATGATTCTCCCCCGCCCGCCCGTCCGGCGGTGGCTCGCGGTGTCCCGCGGAGTCCCGTGTTGTCCCGTGGTGTCCGCCGTTGCTAGGGCGACGTCAAGACAAATGATTCTCCGCCGCCTGCCCGTCCGTCCGTCCGTCCGTCCGTCCGGCGGTGGCTCGCTGTGTCCCGCGGTGTCCCGTGGTGTCTCGTGGTGTCCTGTGGTGTCCCGTTGTGTGAGATTGATAGTGAGATCGATGTGGTGCCCCGCGGTGTCCCGTGGTGTCCCAAAAAATGAGGTCGATAGTGAGATCGATAGTGAGATCGACAGGTGTCCCGTGGTGTCCCGTGGTGTCCCGTTGAGTGAGATCGATAGTGAGATCGATGTGGTGTCCCGAGGTGTCCAGTGGTGTCCTACGGTGTCCCGTTGAGTGAGATCGATAGTGAGATCGATAGTGAGACCGATAGGGAGATTGAGGGGTGTCCCGCGGTGTCCCGCGGTGTCCCGTGGTGTCCCGTGGTGTCCCGTTGAGTGAGATCGATAGTGAGATCGATAGTGAGATCGACAAATGTCCCGTGGTGTCCCGTGGTGTCCCGTTGGGTGAGATCGATAGTGAGATCGATTGAGTCAGATGTTGGTTCCCCCCCCCTCTCCCCCCCACGACCTCCTCATCACCCGAAGGGTGGTCGTATAGGTCACCTACTTGTGCGCGTGTGTGCTTATGTGTGGTGGCGGAGGGCGCCACTAGCAGGCGATCTGCGAGCTGCGCGCAGAGCTATAACGAGGGTGATACATTTTTCTAACATGGGATCATACAAGTGGAGTTGGAACGACGCATGGTCGCTGTCTATGATGTCCTGGAACTCCTCAAAATCGATTTCGCACTCATCAAATCCTGTCTCGCACGGCACCCCTGCCGCACCCACCTCGTCCTCCATTTGCGCAGTGCATACCTCGTCATCCGTGCCGCAGAGCTCCTCGATAAGCGCACCCAGCTTCAGCTTCCCAGCTCTGCCACGACTCAACTTCTGGAACGCTGCTCGCACCATGTCCGTCCACCTCTCGCGGCCCTGTAGCTCTCTCAGGTCAATCAATGCCGCGATGAAGGCGTCTATGTAGACCAAGCACTCCTCGCCGGACGACTCAAGCTCACGCATCACACAGACTTGATCCATAGATGCAACCAATCGGTCAATCTCAGACAGCGTCACATCGTAGCCCACTCGACGCATCCCGGCTTGTACTGCTTGGATGGATACGGCCCCAAGATTATCTACATCAAACTCCTTCAATACCAGAAAAAAAAGAAGGCGGCATAATCATAAACTGCCGGAGGTCCACGCGGACTTCTTGGATCGGCGCTGGGCAGCGCCGGAGGCGCCGCCAGGGGGGCCCAGCACCGACCAAACGAAATCCGTGCGCACCTCCGAAAGGTTATGTATGTGCAGTTTTCTGTCTTCGACATACGTCACTCAAGGACTCCAGGCGCCTATCACTTGAAACCGCGTCCCTCGCCATCGCCCTCAGCGCCTCTTGCCTGAGCCTGCTGTAGCCCCCGAACCTCTGCAGACGCTGCAGCACCGAACCCTTCACGGGAGCTGCGAGATCTGGATGATGAGCCAGACAAGGGCAGGATCCTGCCGTGAACGCATCTTGCTGCAATCTCTAAGGGCACATCCTGCGCCGTCCCCGAGTCTCGTGAGCTGCTCCAGGGCTCTGTGGCCCAACCGGGAGAGAAGAAGCTCTCGTGGGGCACCCTCTGGCAGGTCAATCTATTCCTTGGTGTACCCACTGTAGACCAGGGCAGGATGAAACTACACCAGGACATCCGAAATCTGGCGGGGCCTCGAG